GAAAAAGAGAGGGAAAAGAGGAGAGAAAGAAAAAAGGAAAAACGAATAAGAGCAGAATTAAAGCAGGGAACATCCAGAGAAAAGAAAGAAATAGTCACAAAAAAGGGATAAAAAGGAGAGGGAATAGAGAGACATGAGAGATGAGAAGAAAAAAAGGAAGACGTATAACAGGAGAAAAGAAGAAGGGAAGAACCCCCCCCTCCCCCCTCACCCCTCACTGCCTCGGCCCTCATCGCCACATTTCTTCACCGCCCTGTGGCGTGTGGCGGGTCGCAGGCATTCCGCCGGCGCCGGGGGCGAGCCCGACGGAGCAGCAGCTGATGAGCATGAACGGTGGCCAGCCCAGCCCTCTCGACGCGTCTGTGGGCGCCGAGCAGCTGTCCATCCGCACGTGCTCTGCTGAGGTCGCCAGCGCGTCCTTGCGCGCCGCAGAGCCGCCGCGAGCTATCGAGGTAATATCCTCGGAGGAGGGCTCGAAGCCGGCCCTGCACGTAGACGAGCACAGAGCTAGCGTCATCGTCGTGCCGCAGTCAGACGCGCCGCCTGACGAGCACGCGTCCTCATGACGACGATGAGATGCTCTTTGAGTCTCTTTGTGTTGCTCGTCGATGACGCTCTAGACCTATTAATGTCTCGCTCGCTAGTCCTACGTATCTCACATCTGTCGCAGATTGACTTAGACAGTATTTAAGAAGTGAAACAGATGTCGATGGCGCTAAGTCCTAAGAATCGAGGCCTTTTAACGATGCTCGAGGGGAGAGCTGAACGCAGACGACAGGGAACGGCCCCTCCCGTCCGGCGGCCGTCCCCGCCGCCGCCGCACACGACGCTGGCCTGGCTTAATCGTCGGTTGCCGACAGCGGCTGCATCGGAAAGGGCTCAATAACAACTGGAGGGCCTGCACCGCGCCGTCGGGGGCTGGCCTGTTGCTGATGCTGTTCATCCCTGCTCTCACGTTGCTGATAGCCCGCCTTGTGAGGCGTCGCCGCGGTTGGCGACGCTGGTCTCTGCACGACAGGAGGCAGGTCTACGGCATGGTCCTCGCGCCATTGCCGTGTCTCGGCCTGCTTCCTAGCCCGTTGCTCCCGCACTTGCTCCTCCAAGCCCCGGAGCCAATCCTGCTTCCGCTGCTCGGCCCGCAGCCGCTCTGAGGCCGACGGCCCCCCGTGCATCTTTGCGAGTGAGGTCATAAAAG